TCAATGGGCTGTTGGATTATGGATGAGTCAACGAAATAAACAGAACTGTTGAAATAAACAGAACTGTTGAAATAAACAGATCTGTTTCCAAAGTTAACTGAGGTGCTCTCAAACATCCGTGTGCCATGACAGCGTGCGTTCCATGTCAAAACTGTGACATCTCTGCAGCAGTTCTAATGCTTTGTTTACATACATCAAACTCAAAGAAACAGATTCGCTGTCATGGACTAGAATTTACAAATTAAGAAAAGGAGGAAAAATGAGCCCGTGATCATGACAAAAGAAAAATAGTTTTGAGTAATGACGTACAACTTCTGGCTTTGACGTGGGGTAAAATATCTGGAGTATCTCAAGCTTGTGGGACAGGTTTGATCGTTTTAGTGAAAAATATTTTTGTACAGGAGATTTTCTATTTAAAAAAAAAATAAATAATAAAAAAGCTCTGCATAATATCACGATTTAGGACATTGAATGTAATACAATAAAAGTTATTTTAATTCAAAGGCATTTGCTCTAACATAAATGAGATTTAAAGATATTCATAAGTAAACAGTCGACAGGTTGGCTGATAAATAAATAAAGAAACGGTGCTAAGAGTGGAAGAGCAGAAATGCGGAAGAGGACAAAAAGGTGTACGGGCAGAGGTAGTCTTGAGAGGGTGATCTTTTCATTGGTCAGTACTGCCCTGAGGAAGTGATACAGTTTGGTCACAATCTAAAAAGTTCATGTACATGAACTGACCATTACTACTTGGGGCTCGATGTATGCTCGATGAATAGTTGATTAATGGCTATTAATTTCACTTGAAAAAACTTCCACCCCCTCCCCCCAAACCCACCCAAGCACAGCTTGACAATCTTCACTTAATTCAATAACAAAACATTTTTCTAAAATAAATATAAAACCGAAGTACATGATAACGTTCCCATGTGGTTCTGAGAGTTATAAAGTGAAAATGAGATCAAAGGTCATACAGAAAGGTTCTAAAAACACATTTACACAATATAAATACATAAAAAATAGTCCTCCTTTTTGGAAGGGTGGAGAAAAAAGTAAAAATTTCTTCAAATGAGAATTAGTGTTGTTGTTGAGTGGAGCAACATTGTAGATGTCTAGACAATGCCTTGCTAGGCTGATCAAATACATACGTCAAGATGGGAAGCTACCTTAGAAAGTCAAGTTCCAGCAAAAGTTGGTGACAGTTCATTAAATTATTTCAAAATGGACAATTCCAGGCACAGCTCAAATTAAACCGTTTGCTTCAGTTGAACTGGTTGCTGTGAACATTCAGCTGCACACCACTGGTTGCTATGAACATTCAGCTGCACACCACTGGTTGCTGTGAACATTCAGCTGCACACCACTGGTTGCTGTGAACATTCAGCTGCACACCACTGGTTGCTATGAACATTCAGCTGCACACCACTGCTTGCTATGAACATTCAGCTCCACACCACTGGTTGCTATGAACATTCAGCTGCACACCACTGGTTGCTATGAACATTCAGCTGCACACCACTGGTTGCTATGAACATTCAGCTGCACACCACTGGTTGCTATGAACATTCAGCTGCACACCACTGGTTGCTATGAACATTCAGCTCCACACCACTGGTTGCTATGAACATTCAGCTGCACACCACTGGTTGCTATGAACATTCAGCTGCACACCACTGGTTGCTATGAACATTCAGCTGCACACCACTGTTTGCTATGAACATTCAGCTGCACACCACTGGTTGCTATGAACATTCAGCTGCACACCACTGGTTGCTATGAACATTCAGCTGCACACCACTGGTTGCTATGAACATTCAGCTGCACACCACTGGTTGCTATGAACATTCAGCTCCACACCACTGGTTGCTATGAACATTCAGCTGCACACCACTGGTTGCTATGAACATTCAGCTGCACACCACTGGTTGCTATGAACATTCAGCTCCACACCACTGGTTGCTATGAACATTCAGCTGCACACCACTGGTTGCTATGAACATTCAGCTGCACACCACTGGTTGCTATGAACATTCAGCTGCACACCACTGTTTGCTATGAACATTCAGCTGCACACCACTGGTTGCTATGAACATTCAGCTGCACACCACTGGTTGCTATGAACATTCAGCTGCACACCACTGGTTGCTATGAACATTCAGCTGCACACCACTGGTTGCTATGAACATTCAGCTGCACACCACTGGTTGCTATGAACATTCAGCTGCACACCACTGGTTGCTATGAACATTCAGCTGCACACCACTGGTTGCTATGAACATTCAGCTCCACACCACTGGTTGCTATGAACATTCAGCTGCACACCACTGGTTGCTATGAACATTCAGCTGCACACCACTGGTTGCTAAAAAAATTCAGTTTTATTGGAAAAGACAGTTAAAAAAAAATTAAAATCCTCATAAAGCAGTGAAAATCTCAATTGAATCTGAGAAATAAAATGACAGAATACAGTGAATCTGCAGTCCAGCCAGGCTATTAGATAAAGTCATTGAAAAGTGTATCAAAACAAAGTTCCAGCAGTATATAGAATAAAAATAATCATGCCTCTTCAAAAGCGATGGCCACCATCTGGTCCACCCTGCCTGGGGCTGACGTCAGAGGTGGCAAAATAAAATGTCATCAATTAAAATGTCACAGCATTCATTTTGGCTCATTAAAATAAAAGACTGACAATCAAAATCTTAAACATTTCTTACAATAAGACATCAACACCAATCATTTAAAAACCAAAAATTGATAGTATCATAACGTACGAGAGAGAGGTATGTCTTTCAACACCAAGACAATAAAAACCTGGCATCCAGCCAATGTAAACAAAGGTCATAGGTTACAGTTATCAAATCTTGAAATAAAAATTAGAATCACACTGCCACCCAGCCTGCGATCAGTATGTGATCATTCAAAGTGGTCAAACTAAAAATAGTGATTTCAAATTTGGATGAGCAGAAATTAAAGAAACTAAAAAAAAATAATAAAAATCACAAACCTGATTTGGACAATATTAATTGGGAAATCATTTACGGGGAAAATAAATATTTGATCAAATTTTTAAAAAGTATATTAATTTTCAAACGTTGGCAAATGTTTAAAATACAAAAGCTACTTGTCAGGGTAGTGTGCTAGAGCACTACTGAATCTCTTCTAGATAGAAATCAACCTGGCTCACCATATAATAGTAGCAATAAAAAGAGAGTTGATTACCATGAGTTGATTCAATTTCTCAATTATAAGTTCAAAAAATAATTCTTTGCTGTGAAAAAGAAAATTAAAAAAAAAAAAAAAGGGAGAGAATATTGAAAAACGGGAGTTACTCAAGTGATTTGAACACACCAAAATACAGCTATAAACCTTGTCCAAGTGAAAAACTCATTGGAGTGTAAACACATTATAAAAACCATAGAATTAATGGCGCATAAATAAAGTGTGCGTATGGGCACTGACTATAAAAACACACGCAGCAATAAATGAAAACAAGTACAGTCTGATGCATCAACTTGAGAAGTACATTCATCATTTTATATATCAATGAAAACAAAATAATTTCTCATCATCACTGGCCTTGACCTATCCGGACCAAAAATAAATCAGTTGAATCAGTAACACAATTTCATAGTCCAAGAAATCAATGTTTCCATCCGTAAGGATTGTTCTCCAAAACAGACAGGGGTTGAAAAAATACACATTCATCAAATTTTACAAATTTATTTTTGTCGAATCTTAAACAGTGCCAAACTTTATGTTAATTCAAAATTTAATTTTTAAAAATGTTTGCTTGTAGGCATTCCTAAGTTTTCAATAGCCGTGGTCCACCATGTTTCACGAATTAATTTATTCTGAAATGATTATGACCAGTAAAATTAGTTTAAAGAAACATTATTATCTATAGCTCTATGCTGAAGTTTTGCCTGTTGCAGACATAAGTAGAAAAGTTCTCAAAAAAGACTTATTGTCATCTCTATATATGGGATCAATCATGTAACAGCTTGGCATCAATCATGTAACAGCTTGGCATCGGTCGTATAACAGCTTGTAGAAAAATATAAATATGTGGTACACGTAGGGATATGTTGTCTGGGATTGCATACAAGCAAAATAGTCCACCGAGCGTGAAAAGAAACTATCAATGTTAATTTTTAACAGCAGCTCCACTCTCTATCCCCTCACAAAGGATGAAGAGACTGTTAAAAACTACTTAATAAAAAAGACACTGGCAGAACTGCATTATTCAAAATTTACTTTAAATTAAGCTTGCATAGTGCAGCTAAAAAAATTCTATAAATGTAGACAAATGTTTTCATCACTAGTAAATATGCAGTGATATAAGGAGTCATGAGTAAAATGTGCCATTCCTAATACCCATGTGATTTCCCTTTAATGTCTTTATAATGCCCAAAATTTTTATTTTATTTTTGTAAAATATGTGAACACTGTTTAAAAATTAATGGGTAATTTCTAACTATGATGGTAAATGTAAGAAATGGCCATTAGATGATCCACAAGTAACAAGACACTTAACACTTGCCATACGGTCAATGGTATTATTATGTCTAGTCAATCTTTGAAAACTTTAGATATTGCCTAACAACTAAATGAGGTGGAGAAATTCACATCAAATGATGGACAAAAGACATAAAAACAGTAACACTTGTGTGGTAAATAATTTGTATATAGAAAAAGCATCAACATTAACACACATCAGATATTTAATATTAATGGACAAGCTTGGAATAATCAAGCCAATTGAGGAAATTTATCATTCTCAAGCAAACGGGGTAAATAATCGTTATTGTAAAAGACGTTTTCATTATAATTTTGATGCAGCTTATTTCTACATTTTTAGGAAATAACTTAACATTTCGTTAACGGAAAAATGCTCTCAAAAGTAAATGTAAGCTGTCTAATATTTGAAATTATTTTAGTTTTATATAAAAGTATCTTTGCTTTAATAAGAAATTCTAATGAAAATTGACTAGAAAAGCATATCTAGATGGTAAATAAAATTTGTAAAAATATAATGATTTTAATTTAATTAAAATTGTCAGAAATAAAGTCTCTTGAGTTTTTTTTTTCCACAAGCATATTCACATTAACTTCCTTTGCTGGTAGTGGTGGGCTCAGCTAGGTTCACAAAAGTCAAATTTTAGCCCCACCCATTGCACCTGACAAGTCTTCCTCATAGCTGTTATCCCAGTTTGGATTAAAGTCTACCAGGCCAATCGCCCGACTGTCTGAGTGGACTAAACCGGGCGTCGGCAAGCCGGGCGGTGTACTCAGCTGATTGTCCTTGTTCTGTTGAGGTGGTGGTGACCCAGTGGGCACGCTCATCCCAGGTGAGGATTTCAACACTGGGGGTGCAGACAGGCCGGTGGGCAGCATTGTCACCAGAGAGTCTGCTGGCCTTTCAGGAGCTGAGAGAATTGTAACTGGGGGTGGGGACGACATGGCCGGTGGCATGTTGGAACAAGTTTTGGATAGGGGTGATTTGGTCGTCATGTTCGCGGCTTCCATGGCCGATTGTGACTCAACAGCTGTGCTGATTCGCCGACGGGGAGAGGTTGTACGAGAAGACGGGTAGATGGAAGAACTGTGATGATCCTCGCTGGCAGTGTAAGGAGGTGGGGGTTCATCTGAAATAGATTTTGTCAATTGGCTTTAAGGAATGCAATAATTTCTTTGGTAAACTGTCTTGCAATGCAAAATATTTAGGACCCAGTTAAACAATTTGGAAAATAATTACCTAATCCTTTTTTACACTTGATGTGTTTTTTTGTTGTTTACGATAGAATTAATAAATCATAGTGAGACTTTCGTATTTTCACTCTTGCTGTTTGGCAGATAAGTAAAAACACTATACTTGCTGTTAGGTAGAGAAGTAAATAACACTATAATTGCTGTTTGGCAGAGAAGTAAATAACACTATACTTGCTGTTTGGCAGAGAAGTAAATAACACTATAATTGCTGTTTGGCAGAGAAGTAAATAACACTATATTTGCTGTTTGGCAGAGAAGTAAATAACACTATATTTGCTGTTTGGCAGAGAAGTAAATAACACTATACTTGCTGTTTGGCAGAGAAGTAAATAACACTATATTTGAAGTACGGTAGCATTAATATTAGCTTTTTTTCAATAAAGAAACAGTTTGCACATACATGAATAACATAGTAAACATAGACAAAGTCAATGTAACCAACATTAATCCAATAACAATAATGTAACCAACATTAATCCAATAACAATAATGTAACCATCATTAATCCAGCAAAATCAATGTAACCAACATTAATTCAACAATCAACAATGTAACCAGCATTAATTCAATAACAATGTAACCACCATTAATTCAATAACAATGTAACCAGCATTAATTCAATAACAATGTAACCAACATTAATTCAATAACAATGTAACCAACATTAATCCAACAAAAACAATGTAACCAACATTAATCCAACAAAAACAATTGAACAAACAGACCAAGCAATAAACTGTTCAGAACCATAATGAAATTTAACTGCTTACTAAATTTTTGGTGGATGGAGTAATTTTCTCGACTCCTTCTATAGTTCCGAACTTTCTCTTTGGCTTGTTGGACCTTGAAGCGGGTAACGCCAGATCCTTAAAAAGAATACAGAGGAAACAAAATAATTTAATTTCTTGGAAAATAATTGTTTTGTTATTTAACAAATAATATCCTCTAGCTGCAAAATAAAAAATTCCTAACCCTAAATGCTTAGCAAATCAATTAAGCTAAAGGTAACTTGAAAACAAGGAAATTCAAATTTACCACCGTGGTTTGATTAATGTGTTCATCTATTTGCTGGATTTGAATTTGTACAATCTATTCAAGTTCCATTTATTTGGATCAATAAAAAAAAGTCTACCTTTAAAGACCCTTTCAAAAAAAAAAACCACTGGTATTTCTCTTTTTAAAAAAAACCTGGTATTTCTCAACTTTCTTGTTTAATTTCTAATAATTTATCCATATTTTCAATTTCATCTTTAAACTGTGAGACATACCCACATTAGTATCAAACAAGTGAACAGTTCATAACAGCATTAAAGTAACTATAATATACACTCATAGGTGAATAGAGCTGGAATTTTTCTAATGTTCAATAAATTCCATAGACAACGTTTGCAGCAGTGTAAAATATTGAGTTCTGCCGTGACTGTCCAACTGGTCAAGTATCTATGGTCGATTCTAACCTGTGTATTTCATGTCTTCTAGATCTTGGTCCAACACATCAGGCAGCTGCTGAACAATGTCCTAAACAAAACACACAACAAAAAAAGGCATACAATTTTGAATGATTCCATATGACAAGTTTAAGTCAAATGTGATGTTTAGTCACTTTGTAAAAAAAATAAAGAAATAAAAAATGCAATTTAAGATTATTTTCTCCATCTTCATCAAATTTAATTTGCATTTTTTTCATCAAAGGAGTAATCCTTTATATAAGGTAAATGGTTCCTTGTTAATGCTTATGTAAGGCCATTTTAATTTATATATTTTATGAGAGTAAGTTGAAAACTATGAACCTGCTGGGCATCAAACACGACGGTGCACTTGCGGGCAAAATCTGAGTAAGCCTGAGAGAGCTTCATCAGTCCTCCCTTGAGACGTATCAACTTGACAGCCTCATTCTCACGTATTCTGTCAGTCACTGCCAACATACAAAATACGAGCATCATTAGAATGAGAGCAAGTGGATGTCTTGGAAAAGGGTACCCAAACCTCAGGCGGCCATTCAAAGTATCCTCTCTGCAGTCCGCTAAGTGCCACATTGTGTAAGAGACAAGGTTTAGTGAAATACTTAAGGGTCATGCTCCATTAGGGCCATCAAAGATTTCTCTTTGAGCTCCTTTACGTTGTTAGCCACTTTTTATATTTAGTATAAACTTTGAATTGTTTAAAAACAAACTCTATACAAGTAATACATATGGACACAATCTGACAAATGGAGAGGAAGGGAATTTGGAGCTATGCAATGATACAAATCAGCCATATAAACCAAATAAACTTACCTTCCATCTGTGCCAGATCCTTGGCTCTCTCAGCCTGAGATAATCTCCCTTCCAACGTCTGGATCTCAGCAGTCGAACGTTTCTGTGGTAATTAAATTTAACGGTGAATCCAGTAAGCAACAAAATTCTGGCATCATGAAATCATTTTTCTGGGGTAAAATAAAAAACACTTTTTACTTCTCTCAAGATAGCATCAGGTATTGTGCACATCAAGATAGCATCAGCTATTGCGCACATCAAGATAGCATCAGCTACTGTGCACATCAAGACAGCATCAGCTATTGTGCACATCAAGATAGCATCAGCTATTGTGCACATCAAGATAGCATCAGCTACTGTGCACATCAAGATAGCATCAGCTATTGTGCACATCAAGATAGCATCAGCTATTGCGCACATCAAGATAGCATCAGCTACTGTGCACATCAAGATAGCATCAGCTATTGTGCACATCAAGATAGCATCAGCTATTGTGCACATCAAGATAGCATCAGGTATTGTGCACATCAAGATAGCATCAGCTATTGTGCACATCAAGATAGCATCAGCTATTGTGCACATCAAGAAAGCATCAGCTATTGTGCACATCACGATAGCATCAGGTATTGTGCACATCAAGATAGCATCAGCTATTGCGCACATCAAGATAGCATCAGCTACTGTGCACATCAGCTATTGTGCACATCAAGATAGCATCAGGTATTGTGTACATCAAGATAGCATCAGCTATTGCACACATCAAGATAGCATCAGCTATTGCGCACATCAAGATAGCATCAGCTACTGTGCACATCAAGATAGCATCAGCTATTGCGCACATCAAGATAGCATCAGCTACTGTGCACATCAAGATAGCATCAGCTATTACACACATCAAGATAGCATCCGCTATTGCACATTTCAAAAAAAGCATCAGCTATTGCACACATCAAGATAGCATCAGCTATTGTGGACATCAAGATAGCATCAGGTATTGTGTACATCAAGATAGCATCAGCTATTACACACATCAAGATAGCATCCGCTATTGCACATTTCAAAAAAAGCATCAGCTATTGCACACATCAAGATAGCATCAGCTATTGCACACATCAAGATAGCATCAGCTATTGCGCACATCAAGATAGCATCAGCTATTGTGCACATCAAGGTAGCATCAATCTCCTCTGATGGGTCAGCCGAGTGTTGTATCATGTGTTATGCACCACCACTAATATGGTAACTTCAATGTTCTTACAAAAAGAACCAAAAAGAGTAGTGTTTTTAGCTGTCGCACAATTTGAGCATAAGATAATATTGCTTAGCTGATCCGAACCGATGTTTATTTTATGTGATGCACATATAAAAACCGTGAGGAATTAAATCGTGCTCATTTATAATAAGAAACTTCAAGATAATTACCTTAAAAGCTTTTTTTAATTCTTTTCTAAGTTTTATCTCCCTTTGCTCACATGCAGCCTGAAAATATAAAGAATTTGTGAAGATCCAAAAGCCAAATATTTCTGATAAAAGTGATCAAATGTTATGTCAGTCAACTATATTATACAGATATGCCAACCCAAAGGTCATTGAACTTATTTATATAGATAAGCCTGCCCAGAGGTCAGTAAACTACATTATATAGAAAAGCCTACCCAGAGGTAAGCCTCTGCCTTGCTAGGCACAAGAAAGCCTAAAAATCTGGTACAAACGGCATTTTAATTTCAACAATACTGAGTTTTAGTGCTCCGTTAAAATCATCCATACTCAGTGACTCAATAAACCACATGTGGCTAGAAATCAGAAGGATTCTCATACTTCAACCCATGGACTAATAGATACCAAAGAACTGCCTCCTTTCAAGTGCACCAATATCCACATGTTAATGAAAATGTTTCAAGACTTTTGAGATGTAAAAAAAAACCCAGTAAAAATCTAACTTTTTCAGTATGCATGACATTATGGTAACTATCGTACAATATCTTTGATTGAAAGTGAAATCAGTTTTAGACCAGACAATCTGGCTGGGTGGGGATTATGTAGTATGTTACCATGCTGTGGAAAGAAAGCTTGGTGTCTTCTGCAGGAAATTTAAATAGAATAGAGACATTAAACATGCACTGTTAGGGTCTATGTTAAGAAGTTGATCAGGTGGGGCTTTATACTGTAAAGGTGTCCAATGTCAAAGTACAATCAGCCCATCCTGCACAGGGCACAGCATGCTTCCTTATCCTAATTTTCTTCCATTTCTCTTTAAACCAACTTGAGCTTCAAGGCAGCAACACATTTAATACAGTTTAGTTGTGTCTTTACTTACAAAATTATTTCTGGATTGGGCTACATGCTTTTCTCCTTCAAGAATCATCTCAAACATGTAGCGATACTCCTTCAGATGTTCTGGGAGAAATAAAAAAAAAAAATAAAAAAATAAGATTACAAGTAAATTTCTCAATGCACCAACAGTTTTAAGAACTATTTGAAGGTAAGAACCAAGTTAAACTGAATTAATATGTCTGGAAATTCAATGTTGAGAATCTCCATGGAAATGTTTACCTCCTAACTCTCTCTGTACTTCAGTCCAGAGCAAATTTAACTCTGCTAGTTGATTGGCAACATCTTGAAGAGCTCTGTTCTCCTCATTGACAGCCCACTTTAAGAAATCTTGTGATACTAAAAATATATATTTTTTATTTAGAAGGAATTTTGCAAAGTACAAAAGCAATGTTAACTAAATAGATTATTAACGAAAAGTAATAAAACAAAGAATCTGCACATCTTGCAATCCTGAGCTGGCCTTAGGGCAGACACACAAGGCCCCATGCTAGTGGAGGCCAGACGTCAGACCTGAAAATATTATGGCAGTACCTTTTCATAGTTCAGAATTTCTAGTCAACACAAAGTTTTCGGGGTACAAGATATAATCAAATTATCACTCTATCCTTTTTTCTGTACTAACCCTCTAATTTCAAAATGGTGAAGACCCTAAAGCAGTAGTACTAACTTTTTTATCCAAGGCCCAGATTTTGATCTAGGCATGCACATAGGACCAGACACACTCCCTGGGAAATTGCACTTTGAATGTATGTCTGTGCTACCACATAAAGAGCACCATATTTCTTGTTATAGTAAATTTGACTTTAAGCGTCCATAACAATTTTACATAGCAACCTTTTTTAATGAAATATTGTTTTAAGAGCTTGCTCGTAATTAACAATTTACAATCATTTCATTTTAGTTCTGAAATCAACAATGTTTTAGTTCACTAACTTTATTAAAAGAAGGAGCATTCAAATTTGTTTGCCTTGTGTGCTGAAAATTGTCAGTTTGCAAAAGAAAAGCATCATGTACTGCAAATTAGGTTTTTAGGAAAATTTTTAATAGACGATGATACAATGATAAATTGCTTCTTGCTAAGGTTTGAGTGAAAGGATTGTTAGCATTGTCAATTGAAGGAGACGATGAAGAACTCTCCATTTTTTCTGTTAAATTAGCGGCCTGATTATCATATTATTATTTTTTGTTTCACAAAATGAAGTCTACTTTAGATCGTATGGCTCATTCAGCTCTGTGTCCTTCATCAGCAATGAAATTAACAACAACTGAGCCTCCATGAGTAATTCTGCTCAGGGCACTCAACTACTACAGTATTTATTTTTATAGATATTTGGAAACTAAGCAAGTCAACAAATACCTGGTGTGAGGTATTATCTTATGACCAATTAGACCCAGTATGACTATTATGTGTCTGAATATCATATCGGATCTGATTTATAGCATGAAAGACCCCACAAGTGCCTGCCCTGTGTAAACATATATATAAATTTTCAAAAAAAACATTCGATACTTCCTAAAAAAAAACTTACAAAAAAATCACAAGGAAATTTTGATTTATTTTTAGAAAAAAAAACATGACATGTAAGGTTCACTTAATTCAAAAATGAAGTTTTGGTTAAAACAGAACAGAAGAAGAAATTCAACCTTTTTACCTGACTTCAACTGTCATGCACTTGAAAGCACTCATTACTAATAATATAAAACATGTTGAGTAGGGGGAGGGCAGGTTGTGAAAAGGAAGCAGCCACCCAAGAAGCAAAATATATATTAGAGATTCCGATAGTTTGTATAAAGTAAAGCGATAACCTTGCTACTTACCAGCATTTTGTGCATTCATAAAAGCTTTAGCTGTGTTGCGCATGTCTTTGACTTCAGACAGCAGCACTTGGAGATCTGTATGGCCTACCCCCAATGACATAAGCTTCACGCTGCTCCTGAACAGCATAACAATTCACCATGTTAACAAAACATCTAATGAAAGATCCCTTATCTAAAAATTATAAAAAATATCTACATTTAATTAACTAAATGATTGGCTTAAAAATGACTTTCAGTAATGAATATCATGTTGACCAAATAAATGATGTTAAGATGAATTGTTAATCATTAAGGAACAATCAAATCCGAATATATCCATCAAGCGTTTCTAACCTCCTCACGACACGAGCAGCCTTGTCCATGATTTTTTTTTTACAGTCTTGTTTTGAAGCAAAGACCAAGATCTTTAACAAGGATCTGCTGAAAAATCAAAGTATAATAAGGAAAGGATTGCGGTCAGATTAGGGCAGTAACAAATATAATATTATTATAATACATAGGGTGGTGGGGAAAACCTGAATAAAGAAGAAACCAAACAATGGATGTTTCAGATGACAAAAGCCTTCAACATAATTTAATACAACAGAGAATAAAAACACACCTTAGCTCGGTAGACTAGTAGACCAGAAATTATTCAAATCTAACATGGAATTGTTTCTAAGGAAGCATCTAGTGTTGTCTAAGGAAGCATCTAATGATTTCTAAGACTAAGAATTTTGGGGATGGGGTTTACAGGAAATAGAATTTTAGCGTAAGTTAATATAAATGAAATTGCCCTAGTATATTTTATTGTTATTAAAATGATATAGATATATAATTTCTATTTTTTAAAGAACCAACCTATTTTATTAATACGAATTTTATTAATCAAGGTGGCTATTACTATTTGCAGCCTGATGTCAGAAGTGAGAGGTTGGGATTAAAAAACTATTTAAAATATTATTTTTGGGTTTGTAAGACAAAATGAGGTATCAAATGAAAGATAATTGAATGGACTATATGTTTATAAAGTATAAACTTACTTTTTCAGTTTAACTAAAATAAACTACCACAAATGACATTCGAGTGGGATTTACTGTAACCACTTCTAAATTTCTTAGTACTTATTTTCATAAATAAATTAAAAACTTACCTTTATTTAAATTAATTAATTAATGCTTAGCATATCACTAATAATGTAAATACTGATTCTTTTATAAGAGAAGTAAGAGAAATAATTAGAACAGAAAGTATAATTTTATGAAAAAATGTACAGACTACGGTAATAATATTCCCCCAAAACGGAAGCAAATTAAAGCGGAAGTTGAACGACGCCATTGTATATATTAATAGTGAGTATCGGATATATCGCAATATTATAAATATTTTAATTTAATTGTTTTAATTAAATCAAAGGGACATCAGTGGGCCTATACTTTATTATTTATCCAAAGTTGTATAATATCCATTTTTTTAAAGTTTTCATTTAATGTTTTTGATAAATGTATTCCTGATATTGTGTAGGGTGGAAGAAAATTTGGGGCCATGTGAAATGCCTAGATCAGGAGTACAACTTTTTAGTTTTTTTCCTTTTATGAGCTATAGGCCTACAAATTTTTAAAAAAATATTTAAAATCACTATTTTCATGAAAGTTTACTGTTAAGTTTTTATCGGTGAAAAACTGAACGTAAATCTTAAAACACAACGATTAAAACAAATGAGATTGAAAAAAAAAAAAAAAAATAAATAAAGTATAAAGAAAACAAATTACAATAATAAGTAGGTAATGTTACCATATTAACATTATATTATGTTGCTAACCGCATTTAACGTAAACATATTATAACACCCTCTGGTAAAGCATCCTAGTACTATTGATTATATTTTCTCCTTTATTTATTTAAAGCATAAAACGATGTATTTCCCATTCCTAATTAGGATGAACATTTTTAACGTCAAGTGTGCTGCACAGTCTCGTGTTTATGCACAGTCTCGTGTTTATGCACAGTGTCGTGTTTATGCACAGTCTCGTGTTTATGCAAAGTCTCGTGTTTATGCACGTATCGTGTTTATGCACTGTCTTGTGTTTATGCACAGGCTCGTGTTTATGCAAAGTCTTGTATTTATGCACAGCCTCGTGTTTATTCACAGTCTCATGTTTATGCACAGTCTCGTCTTTATGCACAGTATCGTGTTTATGCACGACTCGTGCTTATGCAAAGTCTTGTGTTGATGCACAGGCTCGTGTTTATGCACAGTCTCGTGTTTATGCAAAGTATCGTGTTTTTGCAAAGTCTCCTGTTTATGCACGGTCTCGTGTTTATGCACAGTCTCGTGTTTATGCACAGTCTCGTGCTTATGCAAATTATCTTGTTATGCACAGTCTCGTATCTATGCACAGTCTTATGTTTATGCATAGTATCGTGTTTATGCACAGTCTCGTGTTTATGCAGAGTCTCGTGTTTGTGCAGAGTCTCATGTTTATGCACAGTATCGTGTTTATGCACAGTCTCGTGTTTATGCACAGTATCGTGTTTATGCAAAGACTCGTGTTTATGCACAGTCTCGTGTTTATGCAAAATATCGTGTTATGCACAGTCTCGTGTCTATGCACAGTCTTATGTTTATGCACAGTCTCGTGTTCATGCACAGTCTCGTGTTTATGCACAGTCTCGTGCTTATGCAAAGTCTCGTGTTTATGCAGAGTCTCGTGTTTGTGCAATGTCTCGTGTTTATGCAAATTCTCGTGTTTATGCAGAGTCTCGTGTTTATGCAAATTCTCGTGTTTATGCAGAGTCTCGTGTTTATGCACAGTATCGTGTTTATGCACAGTCTCGTGTTTATGCAGAGTCTCATGTTTATGCACAGTATCGTGTTATGCACAGTCTCGTGTTTGTGCACAGTGTCAAGTTTATGCAAAGTCTCGTGTTTAAACACAGTCTCATGTTTATGCACAGTCTTGTGTTTATGTACAGTCTTGTGTTTATGCACAGTCTCGAGTCTCGTGTTTATGCACAGTCTCGTGTTTATGCACAGTCTCGTGCTTATGCAAAGTCTCGTGTTTATGCGCAGTATCGTGTTTTTGCACAGTCTCGTGTTTATGCAGAGTCTCGTGTTTGTGCAATGTCTCGTGTTTATGCAAATTCTCGTGTTTATGCAGAGTCTCGTGTTTATGCAAATTCTCGTGTTTATGCAGAGTCTCGTGTTTATGCACAGTATCGTGTTTATGCAGAGTCTCGTGTGTATGCACAGTCTGGTTTTTATGCACAGTTTCATGTTTATGCAAAGTCTTGTGTTTATGCACAATCTGCTGTTTGTGCACAGTCTCATGTTTATACACCGTCACGTTTCTGTGCACAGTCTTGTGTTTTTGCACATTCTCGTGTTTGGGTACGGTCTTGCAATTCTTCCCATCATGATTCAGCTATTTGCTATTAGGGCCTTAAAGGACTTTAAAGAACATTTGAAGGTTTTCAAAATTGTAGACTCGAGGGACTCAAAACGTTGAGGGTCCTAGCCGGCAGGACAGAGAGGGACCTGGACAAAAGTACTAAGGGAACTAAACAGTTGAGACGGGAAGTTGATAAGCAGACGATTATCATGGTCACAGCATTTTTATTTAAACACAGCCTATCAGTCGGTCACGTTGGCACATGTGTAACGGCAGTGTTTTAAATTTTATGTTAAGAATGTTGACGTTGGAGAGATAGAACACGCACGTCCTCTTGTCATTGTAAAACTAGCGGAATTACAGACTCTGGTATTTTCACTGTATTGACTGTGGGTAAATTTATGTTGCGGTCTTAGGCAGTACTAAATAGGAACAAAGTCAAATTGTGAACTACTTCAGGTTGTGAACAAAGTCAAGTTGTGATCAGCCAGGAAATCATTAGAGGTTGTAAAACTAGGTTATGGGATGCGTCGCTAGACATTTTACTGCAACAGAGATTATTTTTCTAAGGTTTTCAAAAATAAATTTAAAGAGTGTTAGGGTTTTCTTCGGGCGCCCCTACTATCAATTTGTAACTACTCCCCGTGGGATTAAATCCAGCTCTTGTCGCTACCAATGCTCTAAACGATTTACATGGCGAACTGTTGTGAACGTGTTAGACGGCCAACTGTTGTGCACTTGTTAGACGGCCAACTGTTGTGAACTTGCTAGACTGGCTAGACGGCCAACTGTTGTGAACGTGTTAGACGGCCAACTGTTGTGCACTTGTTAGACGACCAACTGTTTTGAACTTGTTAGACGGCCAACTGTTGTGAACTTGTTAGACGGCCAACTGTTGTGAACTTGCTAGACTGGCTAGACGGCCAACTGTTGTGAACTTGTTAGACGGCCAACTGTTGTGCACTTTTCAGACGGCCAACTGTTGTGAACTTGTTAGACGGCCAACTGTTGTGAACTTGTTAGACGGCCAACTGTTGGGAACTTGTTAGACGGCTAACTGTTGGGAACTTGTTAGTCGGCCAACTGTTGGGAACTTGTTAGACGGCCAACTGTTGTGAACTTGTTAGACGGCCAACTGTTGTTAACGTGTTAGCCAGTTGCTTTCAACTGATGTGTTGCAAGGGTTAAAACAGGCTCTTAAGCCTCTATGATTTCTAAAAACTAGTCTCCCTTCTGTGACACATTATTTGACTAAATCTCCCACACCCTACAGCAGTAAGAATGTTACAATAACAATTCATTGACTATTGAAACAAATGAACGTCATATTTTTTTATTGAATTGCAAATATAACTGTATAAATCACTCAGAAAATAAACATGTGAATTATTACATTAAGTAGAATGATAATTAAATAACAGCAACAATTTTTATATCTTAACTATATCATCTGTTAAAGTCAGGGGATCATCTGTTAAAGTCAGGGATCATCTGGTTAAAGTCAAGGGATCATCTGTTAAATTTAATGGATCATCTGGTTACAGTCAAGGGATTATCTGTTAAAGTCAGGGGATCATCGGTTTAAGTCAATTGATCATCTGTTAAAGTCAATGGATCATCCGTTAAAGTCGAGGATTATCTGTATAAGTCAAATGGTCATCTGTTAAAGTCAAAGGATCGTGTGTTAAAGTCAGGGGATCATCTGTTAAAGTCAGAGGATCATCTGTTAAAGTCTGGGGATCATCTGTTAAATTTAATGGATCATCCGGTAAAAGTCAAGGGTTTATCTGTTAAATTCAGGGGATCATCTGTTAAAGTCAATGGATCATCTGGTTAAAGTCAGGGGATCATCTGTTAAAGTCAATGGATCATCTGGTTACAGTTAAAGGATCACCTAAATTCGAGGGATCATCTGTTAAAGTCGAGGGATCATCTGTTAAAGTTGAGGGATCATCTGTTAAAGTCAGGGATTATCTGTTATCATCTAGGGGGGGGGGGGGTTCTGGCGGAGGTTGGCGTGTGAAAACCCCAGATTGGGAAACCCTGGTTGATGGGAGTATCACAAGATTTTGATAACTTTGATCAAAATGGATAAAGTAAAAAAGACCCAACATCTTTCTTGATATTTGTATATTACTCAAGAGTTGTTTAATTTGTATTCTTTTTTAGGGGGGGGGGGTTATTTATGCATGACAAATATTTCCACATAAATTGTAATATCCTAAGATAATGATATTTCCCACCAAAGAACTATAAGATCATGATATTTCCAACAAAGCTTTCCAGATCATGGTATCGCCACCAAAGTATACTAGATAATGATATTTTCAACCAAAGTATTCTAGATAATTATATTTCCGACCAAATTATTCTTAAATCATGGTATTTCCACCAAAGTATTCTTAGATCATGATATTTACAGCAAAGTATTCTAAAAAGATATTGTATGTAGTTACATCTCAGTATATGATATTTCCATCGAACATAATATTCTAAAATTATTTTCGTGATTGTTAAAATACTCAACAACTGTTAGAAAATAATTTTATATTGCTAAAACTCAATATATTTGGTTCTTTTCATGTATTTTTTTTTTATTTCAGATCACAACTGTCGTACATGTCAACAATCATGTCTTTATCTACGCCATTGTCCTTCAACAACCGTCAATTTACTTTGAACGGCCAACCCATCAGAATATTCAGCGGCGCCGTCCATTATTTTCGTGTGGTGCCTGAGTATTGGGAAGACAGACTTCAGAAGGTCAAGGCTTGTGGTCTCAACACTTTAGAAACGTGAGTGCATTAGCGCAACACCGCGTGTCTTCGTTGTTGGCAGCGTGCCGCTACTCTCTAATACAGATGGTCTCACTTCAAAATTAAGGTCACCTATTTTAGATCTGCCAGTGTTCCCCCATTTGAAATATATAAGTATTATAAGACACCCGTAAGCTGTGTTTGATAATTAGTCATTACTTTTCAAAGTTCGTATTGGATTTTTATTTCTATTGGGACAATGGGAGTGAGGCTCAGGATTGATACAGCATTTTGAGAACCGCTCCATAGCAAAGAAGCAGATTGTTACGAGCGGTGATCGCTCAGTAACCGAAGAGGCACTTCTTAAAGTCAGCAAGTCGACAAGTTCTAATAAGCTCACTCTATAGGAAAGCATTAAGATGGAGAGATTTTAATGAAGCAAGCCGAAACCGTGGAAGACTTACAGAGACCGTGCTCAGAACAAACGAAAGGATGCACATACTATGAATCGGACCTTGCAGACAGCTCCCACAGAAGCTGTTGATAAACAGCAGTGCTGTTCTTTAGGGTCGGCTGTCTCCGAGCCGAGGCCAGCAAATACACAAAGATTAAAGAATATACGACAATATGTATTTTAGCAAATGTTTACACTTTATTTTGTTTCAATTAATTTGTTTCTCTTTTCATTCAACGTAGGAAAGGTTAGCTTTTTTAAAAAATAAATTTCCAATGTCTGCGACGAGTGATACAGTCACATAAACCATTGCGTTAGAGATTATCGTAATGACGTCATCAAAGGTATGCCTGCCAGTCTCTTGCACGGCCTTTAGTTCGGTTAATCGTTGTGGCTGCACACATTCTAAATAATTATGTGAACTTGTGTAATGGAAGAAATATCTTATTAGTATACCACTCTATTGACGTTGACAGGTTACATAGCATAAGATCACATTTATGTCAATTCTTAAAGGTCCTTTAGCAATAGTAAATGTCACGTTTTGGCCTTCATTACAAAGTTACCTAATTTCAAGTTTGACAACTCTTTTTTCTCCCTTATCAGTTACGTACCTTGGAACCTTCATGAACCAGCACCTGGCCTTTTCCGTAACGAGGGCATCCTTGACCTTAGACGCTTTATTAAGACGGCAGCAGACCTTGACCTCTTCGTGATTTTCCGTCCTGGTCCTTACATCTGTTCAGAGTGGGACTTTGGAGGACTTCCGTCCTGGTTACTAGCAGACCCCGAAATGAAAGTCAGGTCCAACTATCTTGGATATCAGGAAGCAGTGAAGAGGTGGATGAACGAATTGAGTCATTTAAACAAAAAAAAAACAAATCTATTAGATTTAACATGAAATACGTATTTTTTATAACTTGATACTTTATAGTAGATTCGCGGATTAAAGGACACGTCTGTTTATTGTTTAATAATCATCAAAACTTTTCAAGAAATTACATGATTTATTTTATCAAAGATTTAGTAATGATTGGGTAACAGTGGGATGAATTGATTAACTAATGATTGGATTAAATTGGGATAGATGGATCAAATAATAATTGGATTACAGTGGGGCTCATTGATTAAGTAATGATTGGATTACAGTGGGATTCATCGATTAACTAATGATAGGGTTACAGTGGGATTAATGGAGTGATCGGATCTTAATCTTAATAGAACGCCACTATGTGTCTAAGGGTTGTTTCACTTTGAAGTACACCCCAAACCTGACACCCCGGATATAATCAAGGAGCCAGTTTGTTGGGAAAATGTGTCAATTTACCCCCACCCCAACCCCCACCCCCACCATCCCAACACGAAATTAATATAAATGTATCTCTAAACAGCGAAATATCAATAACAAGGACAAGAGCAAAACAACTTTGTTCCCATGCGTTCCTGTAGGACTCGTGCCCTGGATAGACTCCTAAGTTATAACCCCCCTCACAAAGGGGAGAGTTCTTCCAGTGTTATGAAATAAAAAAAAAGAAAAATTACACATTTATTTGATTATTCTTGTTTGTGCTATATTTAAATGGCATAGGGAAACCCTAACCCCTAACCCTTAACCCATTCAAAGAACAACAAAAACAACAACCAGAGACCTTGTTTGACCTTGAAGAAACAGCTTTCAGGATGCACTCCTCACCTGACGGTGGGGGCGCGGGGCGGGAGGCGACTTACCCCGTAATATGACCTGGAATTTTGTCTGCTTTTAGTGGGGGAATTCTTCTCCGTGGCTTCATGGGTGAATAGGTGGTTGCTTGTTACCGTGCGTCTGTTGGGGCCGATTGGCAGATATATAATAACATCTTAAATATAAATCTCCCATGTTATAGTTGTATATTTGTGCTCTTGACCCGCTGCATTCCAGGTACTTTGATTGGCTGATACCACAAGTCGCAGACCTCCAGTACACCCACGGCGGGCCCGTTGTTGCCGTCCAGGTTGAAAATGAGTTTGGCTCCTTCAGTGACGACCCGGGACACTTGGAGTTTCTTCGTGAACTGCTACTAAACAAAGGAATCAAAGAGCTGCTGGTCACTTCAGATAACGAGTCGGCCATCAGGACTGCCCCAGTCCTGGATGGGGTCTTGCCCACGGCCAATGGTCAGACGGTCGAAGAGATAAAAGCAGGATTTCAGATCATTCGATCCATTAATGACCAGTATCCCCTCATGGTCATGGAGTTTTGGACGGGGTGGTTTGACCACTGGGGCTACCCACATGAGACACGATCTGTGGACATTCTTGAAAAAACTCTGAACTACGCATTGGAAGAGAGCTCAAATGTTAACTTCTACATGTTTCACGGGGGAACGAACTTTGGATTCATGGCAGGGGCCTTAAATTTATCCAGTTTCAAGGCTGACGTCACAAGCTATGATTATGACGCCCCTTTGGCAGAAGACGGTGGTGTCACTGAGAAATTTCTCAAAATTCAGAAGATGATTGGTGAAGTGACCAAGACAAAGAACTCAGGAACTCTTGAAGTTCCAACAGTAATGGCGGATACAAACAGAGCTGCGGTCCCACTGAAGGTTCCCTTAGATAAAGTTTTACCGTGGTCTGAAATTATCAAGACTATCAGAAAGAAATCTAAGTCCAAGGATCCTCAGTTTATGGAGAGCTACGCATTTGAAAATGGATGGGTACAGTCCTTTGGCTACATCGTCTACAGAAAGGAGATAGAACAATTAGGCAAAGGTCGTTTGGATGTTACTGGCAGGATCAAAGACAGAGCAAGTATCTTGATGAATGGTAAAACCCGAGGAGTCCTGACCTGGGAATCGGAATCTGCCGTTTTAGATTTATTACAAGACGAAGGCGGGATTCTTGATATCGTTGTTGAGAACCTTGGGCGTGTCAACTACACAACTAAAGACAAACAGGACGTGTTGAACACACAGAGAAAAGGCTTTGATGGAGAGGTCAGACTTGACGATGGCGTGCTGCAGGACTGGGAAATCTTTGCCCTGGACTTCCCCGAGGGGTTTGTTGATGACGCGTTGCAGTCACCAGGCTGGCAGGATGCGACTGGATCCGAAAGGCCCGCTGGTCCGGCGTTGTTCAGAGGTTCTGTTCAGTTGTCAGGGAAACCCGGGGACTACTTCGTGCGCCTGGACCGCTGGTTTAAAGGAGTGGTCATCGTCAATGGGTTCAACTTGGGGCGCTACTGGGATCAAGGTCCGCAGCGAACGCTCTATCTTCCAGGTCCCTTGTTGAGAGAAGGCGCCAACAGTATACTAGTGTTTGAGGAGAACACGTCTTCAGGGGAGATTACTCTCGACATTAAACCCTGCTTAGGGTAGATCTGTCTTTAAAACTTGTTATTAAACTATGCAAGAGAATAAGAAACAATATCTCTGTCGTGCTACTTCCATAATATCAAGAGATTATCACCAATTAAAGTATGAAATGTTTATTTTTTTAACGGTAAACTAAAGAATATCCTTCTAATTTGTAAGGTAATATTGATTTGATGTTTTTCTTGTTTTGTTTCTTCACTCGACCTGTTGACGGTATTTTTATTGTTTAGACGTCCTAGACAAACTCTTGCCTTATCAATATGCTAATGTTTAGACGTCCTAGACAAACTCTTGCCTTATCAATATGCTATTGTTTAGACGTCCTAGACAAACTCTTGCCTTATCAATATGCTATTGTTTAGACGTCCTAGACAAACTCTTGCCTTATCAATATGCTATTGTTTAGACGTCCTAGACAAACTCTTGCCTTATCAATATGCTATTGTTTAGACGTCCTAGACAAACTCTTGCCTTATCAATATGCTAATGTTTAGACGTCCTAGACAAACTCTTGCCTTATCAATAAGCTAATGTTTAGTGTGTCTAGGACGTCTAATAGTTTTTAATAGGACGTCTAAACATTAGCATATTGATAAGGCAAGAGTTTGTCTAGGACGTCTAAACATTAGCATATTGATAAGGCAAGAGTTTGTCTAGGACGTCTAAATATTAGCATATTGATTAGTTGACAGTTGAATGAGTGCTAAATGATTTATGAGGGTAGGGCTAGTGTGCAAAATGCTTTGAAAAGAATGCTGCGGTACACATTTAAGGGTTAGACCAAAGAAAACGACAGCTTGAAAGAGTGCTAGATTATTAACATGTCCAAAAGTAAGTCATGACAAACACCCATGTTTAGTTTAGTCTTTCCTCTAAGAGCTTTGCCTTCAAAGGAAGTATTATTTGAGGAAGGAAGAGAACTTATGCTTATGTGCGTAACTTTCTAATTGTCTGAATTTGTCTAAACTGAGTCTGGGGTTATCGCAACTGAGTCAGGAGTTATCGTAACTGAGTCAGCAGTTATCAAAACTAAGTCAGGGGTTATCAAAACTAAGTCAGGAGTTATCGAAACTGAGTCAGGAGTTATCGAAACTGAGTCAGGAGAAACATTACTGACAACCTACACTCTCAGCTGCTGGCCGTGACATAAACATTACTGACAACCTAGATACTCAGCTACTGGTCGTGACATAAACATTACTGACAATCTAGACACTCAGCTTCTGACCGTAACACAAAGATTAATGACAAAATTGTAAAATTGCTGCATTTCAATTTTGTATTAAAATTTGTTGAAAAAAACGTTATAATTTGTTAGTGTGTTCACTTGGTTGAGAAAATAAAAACAACTATCACAAAGATTGCAACAGTTCAAGTTTTTTTTTTCTTCTAATGTCGACTAAGAGTCTAAATATTGACGCTATAATTTTTTCAAAACTTGGATTGACCTGAAAAAAAAAAGAAACCAACCAAACTAATATTTTGAAGTATCTCGATTGTGTTTCCAGATGAGAGTTCATTGCGATAATTGATCATTGACGTGATACCTGATAGTACAAGATTGGCCTCATTACTCCAATCATCAGACTATGAGATGCATGCACTCCAATCATCATCGAAGAGTGATCCCGCTAATTACATCCCTTATCGTGATGGCAGTCGTTCGTGGTCCGTGACGCCTAACTTAATGACCTTGATAACAAGAGAACAAATTGTGTCACACTTCACGAATTTGGCCAGTAAAATTGTACAAAATCGAGCGCGATTAAATTCAAAGTGCTTTCGTTGGAGCTAAGAGTGAACGTACTTGATAGGACCATGTCAGTCATAGTTTGTACTACGGGGTCAGCATAACTTATTGTCCCATCGACATTTCTTAGGTACGAAACAATTTCGGTCGTTACGGTATTTGATGTTCCTTTTTTTGTGGGTAGTTGCAAGGAGTTACAAAGAAACGTATATAAAAAAAACACCAAAAAAACAACAACAAACAAACAAACAAAACAAACAGATAACATAGAGAGACGATAACGCATTAAATTCTGCAACCAAGAAATGTTGCAACACATTAAATGTAATATGCGTTTAAAGTAGCTCAAAAGAAATGTTAACAAAACATTGAATAAATAGGTACAGAAAAAGTCGAACAAAAATATCATCGCTTACTTAGAAATAAAATATCGACAAATTTCGGTATAAGTTAAGAATATTCTAATTATGCATTAAGGCTGTTGGGGTTTATATATTTTAAAAACCTGCTCAATATGTAAGTTGGGTTGCTAAAACAGTATGTAAGTTGGGTTGCTAAAACCGTATGTAAGTTGGGTTGCTAAAACAGTATGTAAGTTGGGTTGCTAAAACTGTATGTAAGCTGGGTTGCTAAAACAGTATGTAAGTTGGGTTGCTAAATCCGTATGTAAGTTGGGTTGCTAAAACAGTATGTAAGTTGGGTTGCTAAAACTGTATGTAAGCTGGGTTGCTAAAACAGTATGCAAGTTTGGTTGCTAAATCCGTATGTAAGTTGGGTTGCTAAAACAGTATGTAAGTTGGGTTGCTAAAACCGTATGTAAGTTGGGTTGCTAAAACAGTATGTAAGTTGGGTTGCTAAAACTGTATGTAAGCTGGGTTGCTAAAACAGTATGCAAGTTGGGTTTCTAAAACAGTATGTAAGTTGGGTTGCTAAAACTGTATGTAAGCTGGGTTTCTAAAACAGTATGAAAGCTAAGTTGCTAAAACATTAGGTTAGTTGGGTTGCTAAAACAGTATGTAAGTTGGATTGCTAAGGCAGTATGTAAGATGGGTTGCTAAAACAGTATGTAAGTTGGGATGCTAAAAATGTATGTAAGTTGGGTTGCTAAAAATGTATGTAAGTTGAGTTGCTAAAACAGTATGTAATTTGGGTTGATAAAACTTTTTGTCACTTGGGTTGCTAAATCCGTATGTAAGTTGGTTGCTAAAACTTTATGTCAGTTGGGTTGCTAAATCCGTATGTAAGTTGGGTTGCTAAAACTTTATGTCAGTTGGGTTGCTAAATCCGTATGTAAGTTGGGTTGCTAAAACATTATGTTAGTTGGGTTGTTAAAAACGTGGAGAACATTCGAGAAACTTGTCTAAAACAAAATCAGCAAAATAATCAATTTATCCCGAACTATCCAATGATGTCGGGCCCTGCACTTATTATCTAACACACAGATATATATTTTTGACCCACGCCTACCTACCCTGACAACTTTATATGAAATGTCCAGTGACCACTCTGCCTAAGATGTATATGACATTTCTAGAAACAACCCCATCCCGATAAAGCATTAGTACTACAAAAAATTAGTTCCTAGCCTTTTTGTTAAACATCTGTCACTCTCAACCAAATGTCTTGCATACAGTTCTGCAAAACTTCGAGGAAGCAGTATAAAGAATAGCTGTATTAAGTGCCATTAAGACAAAACGAACAATTCAAATTTCAAGCACAATTCTAGAATTTAAAAAAACAATTAATAAATGTACTAATTATTTCATGCAAAAATTCGTTTTAGTTTTTAATAATCTATGCTAATTTTAAAAAAAAACTTGAAAAGAAATGTTTAAAACAATTGGAATTAATTTTGAAAAAAAACAACTTAACATTTATTGAATTCTCATATAAAAGTGCTCTCTACCCCACCCCACCCAAAATATAACAATATAACAATATGATTAACAACCCAGTGGTGTACTCAGGGGGGGAGGTGCGAGTATGCGGACTGCCCCGGGTGACACCATCCCAGGGGTGACATCAAATTTTAAAAAAATTGCATACTTATAAACGCACGCTATTCGGGCTCACCGAATTTCATTAAAGGATAACCGATCACACGTCAATTGTCCACACACGTAGCCAATCCAAATGCGTACTTTATTAAAAGTTCAAGGCTGATGCGTCAGAAAAGAGGTGACCCTTTAATAGATCAGAAAAACGCTGTTTTGGCCATGATTCAACGCCGATTGAAGCCTTCGGTAACTTTCGTGGGGGGGGGGGCAGGAAGCTATATTTATCTAAGTTCTGAGAAATAAACCATTGATATGAAATACGATGTGATCGGGCGATTCTAAGTACAAGATTTTAAAAATTTTAAACAATTTAAGAATGATTTTTTTTTACCCATTTCTAGGGTCAACAAAACACTATTTAACAAAATTTTCTTACATCTTTTAATAACTAATTTAAATTTATTAAAATATTTTTTTAAAAAAAGGTTTTGGAAAACTAATATATGGATACCCAGAAGTACTCTAAAATGAATATTTTCGCCGATTCGTCATTGGCATCGATCTTTTGAGCACGATTGACAGGTTTGCAGCTTTGAAGATCAGGTAATTATAATTTAAATAAAGTAACATTTAATGAAAAATAACTATAACTTAACCTTGTTACAGTTCTTAAATACATGTACCTCCTGACATTCAAATTTATCTGTTTTTGTTTTTTGTCATTTTTATACTGTGGACTTATTTTAACAAAAAGAAATCCAACTTGGGAGTCGGGGGAGGGGGTGGGGGGTGACACCATGAGTTTACCGCACCGGGTGACACCAACCCTGACACTGAAACCACCCCACCTCCTTTGTGACACACATGTGGCCTGTCCCTTTCCGTGACACTAATCGTCTGCTAACATTCCTGGCGTTATTGATGGCGAATTACAAAAATTAATAAATAAATACATACTCTGTGCAAAAAATTCTCATTGAGATCATAAAAATTCTTGACTTTCCGCTTGTTAATAAATTGTTTTATGATTAACAAAACATTTGAATGGAAAAACAGCCTCAAAACGACTCAACTCATTGTTTGATATTTGCATAGAAATCGACCCCCCCCCCCCCCCCACAATCCCCACCCAAAAGAAATATTTAGCACGTGACTATAGTTTTACAAAAACTCAAATTCATAATGGTCTTTAAAAAAAGTTACAACAAAATTCAAGTAATATCGACAAAGCGAAATCGATTTCTACTTCGACTACA